GCAAATATAAGTAATGAGAAGTCAAAGAGCTGAATAGACCGTTTCAAATGGCATCTCAAGAAGACAAAGTCAAATATTATAATGAAATGTTCAAAGAACTGAAGTTAGAAAACCACAATGGAAGAACATCCTCAGCACTCCTCAAGCTGAAAGAACTAAGGAAACAAATTCAAGCCTTGACTTGCTATATTGAAGGATTCTATGGTCAATATGGGAGCGTGATGGCTCCACAGGATAAATACTGGACTGTGAACCACAAGCCCACCAGCTAACTCTATGGGAGAAAAATGAGGCTTTCTGCTCCTGCAAAAGATTTAAAGCTCCAGAAACCCTATAGGGTCATTATGAGTCAAAATGAATCCATGGCACTTAACAATCACAACAATGGGGAAAAGACTGAATGATTCCACAAGCATCACAAGAATATGGAAGGAATATATGAAATCACTGTACCCAAAAACCAAAAAAAAAAAACAAAAAAAAAAACAGGTTGATTTTCAACCATTTCAACAGGGAGCGTAAGATCAAGGACCAACGGAAATGAAGGAAAAAGTCCAAGCTGCAATGAAAGCACTGATGAAAAGCAAGGTTCCAGAAACTGATGGAATAGAAACTGAAATCTTTCAACAAACTACTAAAGCAGTTTTGTCGACACATTCATTCATTTACGCCAAGAAATTTGGAAGACAGTTACATGGCAAACCAATTGGAAGACATTCATATTTTTGCCCATTTCAAAGAGAGGTGGCCCAAGAGAATGTTAAAATCATTGAACAATATCATTATATCACATGCAAGTAAAATTCTGCTGAAGACAACTAAAAAACAACATTGGCAGGGAACTAAATGCCTGAAACTCAAGCTGGATTCAGAAGAGTATGTGGAACTAGGAACATCATTGCTGATGTCAGATGGATAAGTTGTTACTTGTGCTTTATTTACTATGCAAAGGCTTTTGACTGTGTGGATCATGACAAGCTATGCAAAAAAATGGTATTCCATCAAGCAAGGTTGTGGCATCTGCATATTGCAAGTTCTTAATGAGTCTTTCTTCAATCCTGATGTCATGTTCTTTTTCATATAATTTGGCTTCTCAGATTATTTGTTCAGCACATAGACTGAATAATTATGGCGAAAGGATACAACGCTGGTGCTCACCTTTCCTGAATTGTAAATCATTCGGTACCCCTTGTTCTGTTCAAATGACTGCCTCTTGGTTTATGTGCAGGTTCCTCATGAGCACAATGAAATATTATAGAATTCCCATTCTTTGCACTGTTGTTAATAGTTTATGATCCACAGAATCGAACATCCTTTCATAGTTAATAAAAGGACAAGTAATAATCTTTCTGGTGTTCTATGCTAAAAGCCAAGATCCATCTGACATCAGCAATGATATCCCTCATTTACATCCTCTTCTGAATTCCACTTGAATTTCTGGCAGCTTCCTGTCAATTTAATGCTGCATCCATTTTTGAATTATCTTCAAAAAAATCTTGTTAATTAATATTAATGATATTGTTCAATGATTTCTTCACTCAGTAGGGTCACCTATTCTTGCAATCAGTTGGTGAGGTCTTCCAAATTTCTTGGCATTTGAGAAATTCTTGACAAATGAGAGTCTCCAGTACTGCATCAGTTTATTGAAACATTTCAATGTGTATTCCATTAATTCTTGGGGTCTTGTTTTTCACAATGCTAATGCTAATATATTGAAGGAGTCCTGGTATGGCGCTGTGGGCTAATGCGTCAGATTGCAAAGTCGTTTGAACTGCAAGGTTGGTGGTTCAAGCTCACCAGCTGCTCCTGGGAAATGCTATACAGGGTCACTATGGATTGGAATCGACTCAACAGCACTTAACAATAACACCAACAAAGTTACTCACTTTGTTTGAAACAACTCTGGTAACTAGTTCATTTAATAACTCAGTAATTGTTATTGGATATTTTATGGCAGTTGGTTCTTTATTGTAAGTTGTACCTAAGTCAGACAGTCATAAACCATTCATAAAACTAGAATGTTAAATGAGTACATACACCTGTTCCAGTTATTTATAGATTTGTAACAAAGTACCTCAAAGCTTAATAGTTTAAAACAACAACCATTTATCAGTCAGGGCTCGGCTTCATGATTCTCCTTTCCCATATGCTATTGACAGAGGTCATTTGGTAATTTTTAGCAGGTGCATGAGCTTTGTCTGGAGAGTACAAGTGGGCTTCACCTACATATATGACACCTTGATGGGATGGTTTATAGGGTTCAGCTGGAACCATTGTCTAGAGCACCTACACATAATTTTTTCACCACGGCAGCCTCAGAATAGTCTAATTTCTTCCAGGCTGGCTCAAATATCCAAGAACCAAATGTTCCAGCAAACAAGGTAGAAACTGTATTGCCTTGTACAACCCAATACTAGAAAACATAACACATCAATTCCACCATGTTCTATTTGGTTGAAGCAGTCACTAGTTTACCTAGACTCAAGGGAAGGGGACAAAGACCCCATTTTTTGATAAGAGGAGTATTTACAGTCATACTTCAGATGGCCACAATCTTACAGTGTAGGGCCTGGTAGGTATTTAGGACATTGAATTTGAATTAAAATGGAATTATAGAATGGGATTTTCAATTTGCTATTAGTTGCAGTTGAATTGGCTCCCATTCATGGCAACCTTAAGTGTAACAGAACAAATGTTGCCCCTCTTGCACCATCTTCATAATTGTTAACCTGGTTTGAGTCCACTGCTTTTGTGTCAGTCCATCACATTCACATTGAGGATTTAACTCATTTTTGCAATCTAATTTATCAACCATGATACCCTTTTTTTGTGATTAATCTTTTTTTTTTGTCTTCTTCACACAAATTAATGTGTTTGTGCTCTAGTGGGATTAGTTTTAAGGGAATAAATAGCTTGATTCTTTGCTGTAGGGAATTAGAAAGAAAGACTAATTCTCAATGGTGTACATAATTTCAAAACCATAAAAGCAAATGTCAAAACTCAGTACGTTGCTTTAGAGTTATCATCATCAATGCCATCCATCACCAAATCAGAGGCACCAGCTTCCCTTTATCACTGTGTCTTCCTTTGTCTCCAGAGAAACCTCTTCATCTGTGTTAACTAAAATTTACTCAAGTTCTCCAGGATCCTTGAGAAATACTAACAAGTAACAACCTGAGAATTTGAACCTTTGGGTTCTGTATATATGATGCTGTTGTTGTTGTTGTTGTTGTTGAGTGCCATCGAGTCGGGTCCGACCCATAGCGACCCTGTACAGGGTTTCCGAGGGTGTAAATCTTTACGGGAGTAGAAAGCCTCATCTTTCTCCCGCGGAGCGGCTGGTAGTTTCGAACCGCTGACCTTAAGGTTCGCAGCCCGATTCGTAACCACTACGCTACCAGAGCTCCTATATGATGCTGTAGCCTCAGACTAATAACTAACACTGAGAGCAAAGGAGAAGAACTTACGCTAAACAGTAAATAAGAGAAAGCAAAGCCTCAAAATCACTGGGAATATTAGTGGATTAGCTGGCATCATTTAAAATCACCTGCAACCTACTCCTAGAGAGTACTTCCTCCAAAGAAAAACAACACACTCAAATTTGATAACACATATACAGATACAGAAAAAAAAATTACAAACTTATCTTTTAATTCTAGTGACATTTTATTATGGCAAATATTCAAAGATTACCCAAAATGCCCTTAATTTTCAATGAATATTACAAAACTGTACCCCAAAACTCTAAGGAGGTTGGTTTTAAAGTCATATGAAAGAGTCATTTATATAGGATATGGGACATTCTTGACATCTAGGGAAATGTTTTTTTTCTTTTTTCATCTCCAAAAAAGATTGAGTCCTAAAATAAAATAGCATTAGCTATTTTATGAATAAGCTAGTATATACTTAATAAGTTTTCAGAGTTTATCAAACTTTTTTTGAACTTTTCACCACAGTTAGACAAATGACTGATTAAAAGCAGTATGTTAAAACATACAACAGTGCTCTAAAAGAGAACTTATACCCTCATATACAAGAATGCCCACTTGGCTTTTCACTGCAGCTACAACCACAGGAATGAAAAGGTGGCCAGTATTATGGTTTATGAAATCTTTAGTAGTGACAGGAAGGTGAGGAGAAGTAGGACGTATGAAGGGTTCTGCACCAATGGCCTATGCATCACTCCTCTGCCCTTGGACTTGTTTTCCTCATTTGTAAAAGACAAGATTTATCTGAGTTTGCTGAACTAGGTTCCTTCTTCAAAAACATTGGGTGTTTAGTGGTTTTGGGGTTTTCTTTTTTCACTGTAAAGTCAGTTTTCAGCAGTGTACTAAATTTCCTACAAATTTCTACTTATTATCTACAGTCAATAGCAAAAGAAGTATGAGCTTTTACGAGAAATATTATATTAAGTGCTCAAAATGTGTAACACTAATTGTGTTCCTATGTAACAGATTACAATATCCTAATATTTACATTCATAAAAGAAAGCTGGCTTATATTTAACTTGGATACCATCTCTTAATATTTCAAATTGAATTTCTAATAACTTCAACTATTTGTTACTTTCTATGTTACCATACCTTCAAAATGTATTTATTTTCTAAAAGACTGGAGAATAAGGGGTGGGTAGAATTAATCAATTAGCTCATTAGTTAATCAGGGATTATTTGAATATAATTATAAATTGCTAACCATCAATGGTGTGGCACTGCAGCATAAGTATGGAACTATGAACCGCAAGGTTGGTGGTTCAAATCCACCAGCTGCTCCTTGGAAACCTTACACAGGGTCACTATGAATCGGAACCGGCTCAACAGCACAAGGACATTCAGACTTTTAAAAACATAAATAAAATCAGACCTTATCTAAGAGACCATTTATGAGATTTAAAGAATTTACACATGCATGGCTGAGTGTTCAATATCACTGTTCCAGTGGAAGGGACTCTAAAAATGTCTACAATTAAAAGCATACAGTAAAAAAATTGAATTGCTTACTCTCTTGTTGGTGAGTCAGTAGAGGATTCCTTTTCTGAATCAGGAGAGCGTAGGCTTTGCAAAGTATAATTATTTTTTTTGCCAACTAATGCATCTTTCTCTTGTCCAGAATGGATTACTTTGAAGGCTTTTATTCCATCTTCTCCCTCCATCTTGTCACAAGACTTTGTCTGTGGTGGTGGACTCTTTGAAAACAGATCATCTTCACTCACAGACACTGTGAGATCACTGCTGCTGCTCCAACTTTCTTCTTCCTGCTCCTGCATTCTTCCGAAAAGCCTCTGTGACTTTGAGTCCCCATGAGGAAGACCATCTGTAAGAGTGATATAAATGAAGTACCTCTCAGTAACTTCAGAAGTGATGTAAAACTTTACACTTTACAGAGTGTAATTATATATGCATAATTCCTTAAAAACATGTGAAAATAATCTGCAACTAACTATAGCATTAAAAAACTCATTAAGATATATTTTCAAAAATACTTAAAGTGAGTTAAAAAATCAGGGAATTCACTAGTAAAAATACTTGCAATTATGTATCTCAGAATTCATTATCTATTTGCATAGAACAAAAGAGACAGAAGGAACCCAAGAAACAAAGAAGAAAATGGACTACAGAAAACTGTCAACCACTGCCTTCCCTACCTTGAGAATAGAAGACGATAGTGCCTCTAACGACCATTACCAAATTAGGGACACAATAGATGAATCCCGATAGAAAGGAAGAAAATATAAGACAAAACTTCAAATTTCTGAAGAATCCAAAAAGAGTCCCCAAGACTACTGCCCTGAGTGGAGTGACACCTTGAATCGAAATGATCCCCTTAAAACTAAGTGCCACTTTAACTCAAAAAGTAAAGACTGTCACCTTTGAATATTGCATTCTTTTAAAAAATTATTAATATAAGACCAAATGGACAACAGCTATTCTAAGGCATAAATGAGAAGGTTGGGAGGCTGGGAGCTTAAGTCAATGGGTGTGGAACAAATAAAACAGAAATACTTGTAATGAGAATGTTAAAACAACGTGAAAAATATAACCAGTGTCACTGATCATTATGTGTCTGAAAACTGCTGAAGGGAAGTGAGTTTTTATGTGTGTAGTTTCATCCCAATCAACCAATCAGAACTCATTAGAATGGAATTTGTTGGCAAAGTTACCATTATTTACCTACTTTGTTTTTTGACAAAGATAAAATTATAGCATGTATTTTGTCCTTACATAAGGCTGCTGCCACCCAGAAAAACTGAATAGCAACAGACATCAGCAAACCAACTCAGCCTCTCCTCCCACCTAAGAAACCTTCCCAAGCAGAATGGTTCTCTTGAGAACACTTATTTTCAGATGCATAGTATTCTGAAACTGATATCGGAGAGACAGGCGGTCCGGCTGCTTCTTCCTTGACTTCAATATGTTCCTCTGTCAGTATTTCTTCCTCTGATCCCTCTGATCTGCTGGAACTGTCACACTTTAAATCAGTGGTTCTGTTCTCTGGACTTAATCTTTCTCGTAACAGGCAATGAAGTTCAGCAGACTTTTTGCTTTCAGACAAATTACTCTTGCTGTGATGTATGTTACTTCCTATCTCCAAGCAATGAGTTTTTCCCTCCTCAGGCAATACACTGGCTGTGACTGGCGTTCCATCACCAATCTGAAGAGATGTCTTTCCATCTGTTCTGTCACACTTATTTAAGCACTGTGTGTCACTATTAGTTTGTACTACACAGCTGTCTGTCACATTGCTGCTCTGGGCTGTCTGTTGGCATGAATGCAGGACAGGAATTGAAAAGTTCTTTGTGGGTTGGGGAGGTTTCTGCTCTGTGCTGAAATCTCCAGTGTTTGAGATGGCTGACATTTGGCGGCCCATAAAGGTTGTTGCTGGCTGATATAATCCTCTTGACAAGGCTATCCCGGAGTTAATTCCTGCTTGGATTGCAACCTGCAACACCAAAGGAGATGTGAGTCAAATACATTGTGTATGAACATCAGGCTGTTTTCAGAAATTAAATGATGTAACAGAAATATGACCAGTAAAATCAGTATCTACCGCATTTTATACAACTCATGGCATTCTACATAATAAATGAAAAAAACACAGTATTGTCCATATGTTTTAATGACAATGTTATTTCATAAAGCAAATACTGTCAACGATTAGGGAATCTACACTTTAAAAAAAGATATATATAAAAAATTTCATGGGGGTTTCAAAAAACTTTATTTCTGGTGCTATGTGTAAAATAAAAAAAAATGTCAATCATCACTTTCAGAAATACATTAAAATATAGTGCAACATGGATAGAACAAAAATTCCAAACTGCAAATAACAGCACCAATTGTTTCTGAGCATCTTTAAATAATGTTAAAGACATTTAAAGTCATTTTCTGAGTCCTGCTGTGGCACTACAGGATAATGCACTGGACTGTAAGGTCACTTTGAACTACAAGGTTGATGGTTCAAGCTCACCAGGTGCTCCTCGGAAAGCCTACACAGAGTTCGCTATGAGTTGGAAATGACTCGACAACATTTAACAACAATAAAGTCATTTTACCAGCATGTCCATGGAAAATAAGCTACGGTCTCTTCCTTTAGAGAAAGAGAGAGAAATAGAAGCAATTGGCTCATTTGCTTGGTCAAAGACAAACAGTGAGAAGCAGAACTAGAACCAACAATCACTGTTTAGTAAATTATTTTCTTTCAAAGAGTTTTTAAAAGTACTTTCACACACATAATAGCATTTATTTTACAGAGGCCTATGGAGTAAATGGAGTCCTGGTGTGGTGCTTTGGGATAATGTGCCAGACTGCAAAGCCGTTTGGACTGCAAAGTCAGTGGTTCAAGCTCACCAGCTGCTCCTAGGAAACCCTATACAGGGTCACTGTGGGTTGGAACTGACTCAATGGCACTTAACAACAACAACAATGGAGTAAATGGAAAGAAGTATTCATACCCCGTGCATTTATAATAACTGACATAAGGTCATGTTCTAAAATGTAAAGATAACTGATAGCCCACTTCATCATCCTGACATTAGGCACCATTAGGCACTTTCTCTTTTGAATCCTAGTCACCCAAAGTTGTTTCTCTATAGTTAGGACTTTCTCCAAAGTTAGGACTCTGCTTTCCAGCCCCTGCCAAATAGGCAAATGCCAGTCTTTCTGCTAGCTCTCTCTGACCACAGTTAGTTTGATAATTTGCTAAAATGACTCACTGAACTCATGGAGACTTCCTGTATGTACAGTTACTCATTTATTATAATCAGAAATTATAGAAGTTGAAGAGATTCATCAATCAAGGTCTGCTAATGATTTAGGCAATAAGAGGCTCCCACTCTCCCCAGAGATGTGCCACACCATTCCCCATATATGGATATTCTAATTAATCCAGTAAGGTCACAAAAAGAGAACACTCCAAAGTCTAGGACCCCTTATAAGTCAATGGGACTTCAAAGTGTATGTATGACTGAGGCCTAATACGTACATTTGAATCAATACATATGTCTGGTTGATTGCATCATGTTTCCTCCCTTTCTGAGGTTTGCTGCCAGGGTGGGGACTGTAGAGCCTCTACGTATTTACACATGCTTAAGTATTACCAAATCCGTTTGAACTGCAAGGTCTGTGGTTCAAGCTCACGTGCTGCTCCTTGGAAATCCTATACAGGGTCACTATGGGTCGGAATCGACTTGACGGCACTTAACAACAAAGTATTACCTGGAGTCCTGCTGTGGTGCCGCTGTAAGATAAGCACTAGACTGCTAATTGTAGGGTTGGTGGCTCAAACCCACCAGTTGCTCCTATGTAGGGTCATAGGACTTGCAGATACGTAATAAATATTGTCTAACTATTTTACAAAACAAAATTTCTTTAATGGCTGGCAAATTCTATGAGCTGTTTTCAGACACTAGTCCCCTACACTCTTATTTTACAGACAGGAACACTGAGGCCCAAACTTTAGAAGATAAAATGTCATGTTGTTGTTAAGTGCAGTCAAGTCTGTTCCAATTCACAGCGACTCTGTGTGGGGTTTCTGAAGAGCGGCTGGTGGGTTTGAACTTTTGAATTTGAGGTTAGCAGTCCAGTGCTTATCCTACAGCGCTACACCAGGACTCTAAAACGTCACATGTTCTTCTTGCTAAATACCACCAAGTCCGGTCTGACTCATACAGACACTGTATAGGGTTTCCGAGGTTGTAAATCTTTGTGGGAGCAGAAAGCCTCATCTTTCTCCTGCAGAGTGGCTGGTGGGCTTGAACTGCTGACTTTAAGTTTGTAGTCCAGTGCTTATCCTAACAAAAAAAGAATCCAGGTGTTGTTTCTCTTAAAATATGCCATCTCTTTTATTCCCCAAATAATCAAAACACCTTTAAAGTTAAAGACAAATGAACAGAGATATGGAGGAGTACCTCTGTAAAAGTTTTGCTCTGTAAAAGAAATCATAACGCAACAAAAATATTCAGAACCCATTTTTTTGATACTCTGGAAATTAACCAATGATAGCAGCAATTGTGGGAGTGGTTGTTTGAAAAAAAAAGGATGAATTTTGGCAAGAGCATTAAGCTGCAGCATTTCAACTTGCCCTTTTCCCATTGACCTCTTCAGGGTTGCAACAGCCTTAAAAACCAACAGCTTACATTCACAATAAAAATCAGCAGCCTGGCAGCTGCTAGAAAGGGTAAAGTGGGATGGCGCTCCTTTAAAGAAAATTGTCATTATCTGATACACTGGTAGTTTCCTGGTAAAATCTCTCTTCATTTGACTTGACTCAAAACTTACCCAGTGACCAGTATTTTTCATGGAAATGTTTATTGAAAAAAATCAGAGGCAACTGTTTAACACCGGGCCTGGCTTGGGTAGGTAATAACATAGTGAACAATATTGTTGTTGTTAAGTGTGTCAAGTTGGTTCTAACTCATAATGACCCTGACCCAAGGACCGGTTGGTAGGTTTGAACCACTGAACTTATAGTTAGCAGTCCAATAGTTATCCTACAACAAAACACCAGGAGTCCTGGTTAAAAAAAAAAAAATAGGCCATCCAAAAAGATTAAAGAAAAAGCTGGTAAATGAGATGTCCATAAGGGGCTTTGACTAGCTTCAACAAATTCCTGAAATTTAGGTCATGGGAATGCATAGGTTGTGTGACCATATGCAGAAAAATACTTCAGAAGGGCCTAAGCCCTAAAGTTTGGCTTAATTTGAGGCCTTGCGCAAGCAGGAAATAAAGGCTAGAATGGAACTGTAAATTGCTTGGATGTATGCTAAAGGAATTCCCCAACACTCACCCAGTGCTCCTTGGTAAGCACTATGAGACTTATTAGTTCCAGTTATTTAACAAATCTCTATCCAATCACTAGATGACAACTAAGCCAACTGAACAAAAAATTCAGTGACTACACATGACAAAGAACACAAACTCTATAGAATTACTTCAACAAAGTCACTAAACAAGTACCAACAATAGCAACATACTCTGGGAGAGAGGCAAATCTGATTTTCAGAATTGTCATGTTGTATTATTTAACAAAATGTATGAAGCACGAAATAAAACAAGAATGTAGCATATACAAGAGGGGGGTAGGAATCCATGAATAGAAACTATTTCTAAGAAAGTGCAGAGGTTGGATTTAGCCGACAAAGGGTTTAAGGTAGCTATTTTAATTGCTAACTTAGTGGTGAGTATCCCCACCTGTCACACGGGAGACCGGGGTTCAATTCCCCAACGGGGAGACAATAGGAGCTCTGCTAGCGTAGTGGTTACGAATTGGGCTGCAAACCTTAAGGTCAGCAGTTTGAAACTACCAGCTGCTTCGCGGGAGAAAGATGAGGCTTTCTACTCCCGTCAAGATTTGCAGCCTTGGAAGCCCTGTACAGACAGGGTCGCTATGGGTCGAAACCGACTCGACGGCACTTAACAACAACAGCAACATTTTGATTGCTTTCAAATAACTAAAAAAAACTACAAATGTATAAAGAACAAAAGGAAACTATGAGAGGAGGCTTCACCAAATAAAGAGCTAAAAATTATGCACACACACACACACACACACACACACAGAAAATGGATTGATAGTTTGTAACAAATTTAAATCATGAGGTTGAAAAGTACAATCACCAGAATAAAAAAATCACAAGAGGGCTCTGGCATACAGGTCATTGAACAGTCTAAGAAACAGTAAGAAAAAATAGAAAAGTAGTGAAGAAAAATACACAGAACCTTATAAGGTGACCAGTGGGACATCTTCAAGCATACCAACAAATGTATAATAAGAGTCCCAGAAAGTGAGTAAGGAAAGGGAGAGAAAGATTATTTAAAGAACTGAAAATCCCCCAAATTTAACGTAAAACTTTAGCACATTCAAGAATGTGTAAAATGACCAGAGGAAGAAATAAAAAAAGACTTTTTTTAAAATAAAGAAAACAAGTGTAATTCACTACAATTTGATGAACTTGACCTACACTTATGGATGTAGTAGCTTAATACCAACCAAGAGGGAAGGAATCTTCACATCAAGGATCATTCCCATCCCCCCCTCTGTATACAGGGTTGATAGGGATGGGCAACTTAGACACTGGCTACCTAAAATGGGGGGGTGGGGGGTGGGTGCATAAAGGCATGAAGTGACTGGCTTATAAGTTTTCAAGAGGGAGTTTAGTTTCATAGGGTGCAGGGGAAGGAAGAATCTCCAATGAGTGGTTTTCAACCTGTCTAGATGGGGCTGGTGAAAGGAGATGGGGCCAAGGCTCTTGTGGTTCAATAGTGAGTAATTGTCATCACAACTGATTGCGATTGTTGCAACTGAAAAGGTAGACATTTTGTAGCAAAAAGATGGGAGTGGTTGATCTTGCAGTACAGGAATGGAGGACCCTGGGACCATAAAGGGAGAAGAGCAGGAGCAGAATGTGGGACCCAGAGATGCAGGCAGAGATGATAACGTGG